AATAAAAGCAGTCCGACAATCCACCTAAACCGGCAAACCAGGAGCAAATCCCCTGCGCTGAGGAAGATCAGTGGAGAAAGAAGATAAAACAAGAGCAGACTGATTAAATTGAAAGAGTTATCAACTCTCGGAGTTGAAATAGGGGAGAAGAGATTAGACACATAAAAATGTTACCAAAGGCATTTGTGCTCCGACGAATTTTCATTCCTTTCCCCCCACCCTTCCCGCTCTCTCGCTTTCTCTCTCCCTCTTTCTCTCTCTCTTTGGGGAGGGGAAAAAAAAAAAAAAAAAACCACACACCCCGCACAACAATCAGGCATTGTTCTGAGGGAAGAAAAGCAACTTTGACAGATTGAAATATAGCAGAGGCCCCTTCAAGGAAACCTGTAAACAACTTGTCACTCACTCTGTCGGTCTCACTGTTAGCTCTTGCTTTCCACAAAGTGCTGCGAACCGTCCTGGCAACAAACCCAAAGTTTCCTCGGCTCCAAACTCCCTCAAACAGCCCTGTTGTGTGCAGGGGGAAAGGTAGCCGCATGACAAAACAGCGGGCACGCACACGAACGCACACACGGATGCACAAACAACAACAAAAATAAACTTTCCGTTCGTCTGTTAGGGCTTTTCTCGTTTTCTATATAATCGCACCCCTCCTTTTTTTTTTTCCCCTACTCTCTGGGCGAGCAGTAAGAGTCCCTCGGCCGTGTCTCCCACTCATTTCCCCTGCCCAGACAGTCCCTGATAAGAAGGTGGACGACGCGCGGCTGCAGAGCCCCTCGGCTGGCTGGTGGAGCGCAGCCTCCGCCGCGCTTCCAATTATCCAGATAAAAATCTGGCAGGCGAGGAAGGCAAGCAGGTAACGGGCCTCGGACACGCGGGGACGGGGGCGCCGGCAGCCCCCGCATCCCGCTCCGCTCCGGCTGCAAGGGCTGCTCCCGAGCCCGCCCCGGCGGGGAGAGGGGACAGCGGCCGGGAGAACGCCGCGGGGAAATTCCCGTCCGAGCCGCGGGGATTAGCCGGGGGCTACTCTGGAAGCGGAGCGCACAATGCCTCAATAGTCTGCGCGGCCCGTGTCCGGCCTGGCACTGAACTCGCAGTAAGGGGAGGGAGGGGAAAGRAAAAAAAAGAGGAAAAAAATTGGGCTCCCTGTTCTTTCACAAACACGTGCATACACACCCACACACGACCACGTATCTATACTCCATTCTTTCAAGTTCCCCCCCATTAATTTGCAGCTGGACAACATTAAGGGCCTTTAAAACCCACGAGGCTTTGACCCCACAAGTTTGATTAGGTCCATTGCCTCCCTCTCTTCCCCTCGTATCCCTGCCTCCCAGTGGCACGGAGATAGCAAGTTTACTTTTTGAAATATATACASATATTCGCATGGAGTGTCCATAAAACGTTCAACATTTTCATGCCCACTGGCTTAAGAAAAATGCCGAATAGAAAAGCTTATTAYTTTTAATATCCAACAGCTATACTGTTTAATTCGCTGCTTTTCCCTCTCAGTGCATATGTTAGCAACCAGCAGGCTCACACAGGGTCCAGTCAGTCCAGTGATGGCATAAAGGCATCATCAGCTGGAAGTCTGGGCTGATCGCTTTAATGACGAGGAGCAAACCCACTCGCAACTTCAGCGCATCATCCCCGAGGAGCACCCGACCCGTCCGCGGAACCGAGCGCCGCAGCCAAGTTTGCGAAGGCGCCGTCGTTGTTATGGTTCATAAAGGAGGATCTGCGAAGGCAGCCTTCAGCCTGCCTTCCACCACCACGGCGCTCCGAGCCGAGCCGCACACAATCTGTCAACTTCTGGCATKAGGGAGATCTAATGGCTCCTTACTGTGGGCAGGGTAAACCAACTTCCTTCGGTAGCCCCCAGCAAATTATATTTTCCACAGWCGCCCATTCACGGGAGCCTGACAAACCTAGTTAATATGTTACAATGATTTTTCATTTGTTATTTAGTAGCTAGCCCTTTTAGGGATAGCCACGAAGTAGACTTTGAAAAGGCAGCAGATGATTAAAAAGAACAATTCCAAATACTTTCTCTTTCATCTGAGGGTCTCAAACCATGTTAAKTCTCACATTACTCCTCTGCAGGTAATAAATATAATTAGGGCTGATTCCAAAACTTTATTTGTATTGAAAAGTATCTCACTCTGCAGGGGCTCCATTCAAATCAGTAAATCTCTGTGTGGAGTAGGAGGCTACTTAGTAGGAGAATTTGGCCTCAAATAAGGAAACTGAGACGCAGGCAGGCTCAGTAGTTTGCCCAAGTTGACACAGTTAGCCAACTCCAGCAAAAGGAYGAGAAACAAAGTTCCCAAGTGCCTCGCAATCAACAACAGCTCTTAAGCCTCTGAAATATACATATTTATATGTTTGAGCTTTTTTTTCCGACAGAGCCATGATTTTTGTACATTTGCTGTTTGTTTAAAACATGTTTCATTTCTATCTTCACATTCTGTAGGGCCCCTTTCTTGGTGTTTCATTTTCCCCTTGATGCACCCGTGCCTCATCCATAAATGCTTTTCCTTCTCCCCCAGCTCGCTTTGCTCCCCTTATTTTCTCACTCTTGGCCATGGGAGAAGTTTAGAGTGAAGCTATACAGAAGCCCCTACKGGAGGAAAATTAAGATCACCTTTTATTTTAAAAAGTATAAATCTCAACKATTTGGGTAAAACAGGAATACCATATTTTGACTGCACATTAGCTCMATTCAGCTCTAAACTCATATCCTTTTTCCAGCTAAGCTCCACTTTTGCCCTTCTACCATGTCCTTCCTTTTATCTGTTTGAACATATTTGCCCCTTCCAATATCATTTCCTATTTGAGCTTTTTCAGGACAATGGTCACATACCCCCCCAGCTGGTATTATGCCTAGCACAGTGGGGCTCCTGTGTTGCTGGGTCTCAGCTAATATGATTATAAACCAAAGCAACCACCATCAACATCAGGAGCTATAGAAGAGGACATGGGCTCGACTAGGAAGACGCAGAAAGAACCATATTAAAAGTAGGAGGAAAGAAAAATAAAAACTGGGGAGAGGAAACTAAGATAACTGAGCAAGAGAGTTGAGAATGGGAGAGGAAATGGAAGAAAGGAAGGAAATAGAGATCATCCCCCTGACTGCTTCTGACATTAATCCTTCTTTTACTTATCCTACTTTACAATTACTCTTACCCCAATAAATTTTGTGCTCAGGTACCTACACCTTCTTGCCCATCACTTTCCTTTTACGTTTTCTGCAACTACTGAGTTCCCTCTCCCAGATGAYTGGGGAGAAGCAGAGTTGTGTCCAAAGAGGAGAAAAACAAAGTTACTGTTGCTGTCATAGTAATATTGCAACAGAGTATCCTTGTACGATAACAGACTTTACTGATTTTATACATATACATGTATTATTGGAATATAGATGGTTAAATATAAACTTTCTGATAAAATCATGTTCTTATAGTAAGTTCAACTGCAATTACAAGAGGGAGAAAAAGCAAKTTAAGTGGTTTGTGGGAATCTTGAMACMCTTCTAAAAATCATYTCATGTTAACTTTTWGACTTKTTTTTTGGAAATTGCCAGGAGATGTCACAAAGGCTGCTAGCATATCAGAAAGAGYAAAAAGTGGGAAATTCAGATACATAACCACTAAGAAAGAAGAAAATATACATAACATGCAGTTTTTAACATAAGAAATTTTATTTTGTTCTGAAACTTTTAATAGGAAGCCYGGGTGCCCCTTTTTACTGACTGGACTGGAGTTACAAAACCCACTTTCAACTTCCATCACCCACATTCAATGCTTTCAATTCTCTCTTCTCAAAYTGAGAATTCAGGTAAAAGTTCAAATATCTTTAACAGATAAGGAAAATGAAAACTCCCATACTACTACCCCAGCATTAATATGTAAGTAAATGTGCATTTCTCTTGCTTTGTTTCGTTTAAGGGGTACCCAAAACAAAATAAATCCCAGTAAAAGAGGACAATTCGCATTGAACTAAACAAAAAAGCTCTGATTTTCATTTGCATGAGGGGACACAACTGAAATCATAAACTCCTATAAGAATCTTTGTGCTTAACTGATTTTTTGTTTCACTACTGTGGTTCTCCAGTTCAAGAGGTGAACCAAAAAATCAATTATCCACCCAGCTCAATTTAGAAATACCATAACTCTSGAATATTGCACAGGCAGAATCCTCAAGTCTTTACACAAGCATATTGGCCGAAGGAAAACCTTAAATGAAACATTAATTTTTATTTTTTTTTTTAAATCCTTAAATGATAGCACTTCAGTCTAGTGTCTTTGGCAGATACTGCAATACAGTAAGCAAAGGAAATTCTGGGGGGGAAAAAAAGAAGAGCTTTTCGGGTTTTGTTGTTTCCACTGGAGGTTTTAATAATAGAGACCTACAAAGTCCARGGCAATGTAAGATGTTCCACAGAATGATTTACTGGAAAATTCTCACAGAAAATATGCAAAACTCTGAAGATCCTAAATGGATTTTCTTTTTTAGGCACACACTCAAAACAACTGCAGCATTAAGAATGAATCTGTAAGACTTCTAAGAAAGGGTGTTTTGGAACACACTACCGGAGAGCAGAGGGAGAATAGAGTGGGGTTGTTGCATTTATTATGAAGAATATCTTGCAAATAATGAGTGCTTACTTCAGAGCATGGAAATGTTTAGCTACAATGCAGTTTGGATCATATGCTTAGGAACAGATTTT